AGATATTTGCAAAACTCTGGACCGCAGGTGTCTATGGTGGTGAACGCGTTACTCCCCGGAAAGGACAATAGCGCGTTCGTTCCCCACCATAGACACCTGCGGTCCAGAGTTTTGCAAATATCTCAACAGTCGTAATCGTTCCTATTGATTCGGGAAACTATTATTCGCTGTTACTGAGTGCAACTGAAAGTTTGCAGTGACGAATAAATCATGGCATTTCTTAAGTTATATCCTTATGACAATTCAGGGTGTTATTCGACAGCTGCCCATTATGGGTTCGTTGGTGAATTGGTGGTCCCCTATTGAGAGAGACGGACGAGTTCGAGGACGGTTTTTCAACTTGAACACAGGTTTGTCAAATGTTTTACTTGCGTCCATAACCTGTGATGGCTTGTTTCGGAGATATTGGTTACAGGTGAAATTCAAACAACAGACGTAATCTATAAGAACAAGAAGGAATCCATTGCTACCAGCCATAGTGCGAGCAAAAAGGTAAGCATTGATTACGTTTTTATTCTTTTTTTCTCAAACGACTGAATACAACTTGGCGTCAGGATCTTCAAATGTCGAGGATTTTCTCAAATAACGCTAAAGAAAGTCAATTTTAACAACGCTACTTTCTCATTTGACTTGGAATTTTATGATAGTTTCTAGAATTTTCTTCCGAATCCTTTGAAATCTTCGGAATTTTGCATATAAGGAACCTAAGCAACTTTAACCTTTTATATACTGCATACTCTTTTTAACGGTAGGATATACATTATGAAATATAACCTCAATGATGCTGAGATATTTTTTTATCATTTTTTCTTCTCTATAACTCAGTTTAACTGGGTTCAATGCTGATTTGGGCTTCCCAGATCAAACCCGTTGACGGGTGATTGCTGATGGCAAAAGATCGCCAGAACTAGCTGAGAGACAGGCGAAACGAAGGACCCGCATGGTGTGGTGGTGGATGCGCTACTACCCGGAAAGGACAATAGCGCGTTCGTTCCTTACCGCAGACACCTGCGGTCTGGAGTTTTGCAAATATTTCAGCATTAAAGTACTAAACAACTTTATTTGGTGCAGAAATTAAGATTGCCAAACGATTGTTAAAGAATGTAGGTGTCCATTTTTTTGACTTACAATTGGCAACCTTTTACAGGTGACTGTGATGAATGGCGAAAAAGAAAGTAAGATCTCATCGACAACCGCTGACGACGTTCCAAAGCCACCTGTTGAACAGCCAATATCTCTTAATGAGAAGTAGATGCTCAACCAATTTCTATAGAAGGGAGCGAATGGGTTTGATCGTTGTCAAATACGTGAGGTTTTTCTCTATCATGGGCGTCATGGGACGTAGTCACTTTAGCTTCTTCTGCGTGCATGTCTCTACTATTCCGCGATGAGTTATTGAGCTAATATCTCATAATTATTTTATTATGTTCTCTTATCTGCACCTAACCGCTTGATTTTAAACCATGAAGAACAAGGAAGAAATCATAGAATGTCGTCGATTAAACTAAAGGCTCTTTTGTAGTGCAGATAGGAGTTGACGAAGGCAACAGATAGGTTGGTGTCGGCATTGTGGTACACCGTAAAACTGTGATATAACATTTTGGGTTAACGGTTGAGCATATTGACGTGTAAGTTTATTTAATAGCAGAGCATCGTTGACTTCTTTCTTTACTAATCTCGGTTTATTGCTTTATTTTGCGATTTTAAAATGAATTCTTTGGTAAATGGCGGTATTCTCTCTTTTCTCGTACATTCGATAGTTCTTTTTTCTCTTAGCTTATGAACTTTCTAAAAGAATTGGTTGTTGCTGTAACTGTGATAATTACAAGAACAGAAGTTTTAACATAGTACCTTGCTTTATTTCATTGTTAATAAATTCTAACATTGTGCACATTGGGCGCCGACGAATTGCGGTTCGGTTGCTGTTTGGGTGAATTTCTTCTAATAAACATCGAATAATGGACTTTTTTCAAAGAATCGAGAAAAATCTGATGGAGTAAAGAAAAGGATAATGCTTTCGGCGTTGATCAATCCTTGAGGGATGCGCCATTCATTCGACTTCATTAACCACCATTGGAGGAGATTGAATGCATATTTGACCTCTACAATGATTCACAGTGGCCTACTAATGTGTCGACCTAGTGCTGCTATCCTTCCAGACAAGTGCGTATCAATTTCCCGACCCCGGAAGAATGGAAGGCCTAGTGAGCCATGGACGCCGGGATCGATTCCACGTGCGTTGCAGGGCGCCTCCGACCACTGCGCCACACGCCCTCTTCCCATTCAAAGGAGTGGATAGTGAAGTGGTGTCGAAAGTATAAAATGTTGTAGGGAAAGATGGAGCATCCGCTTCCACTTTATCCCCTTTGGCACGCATTCGACTTTTAGCATCGTAAGGGTACATATCCATCTATGTTTGGTCAGTACAATAAATTGTGTGGGATATGATGTGGTTGTGGGAGCTAACGATATATCATTTCAGTGTCTGTATCTTCCTAAAGATGACGGGTGTCAGAATGCCTACAGCGGAGGGCGAAAAGCCTGATGTACTTGGAGGGCGGAGTCGAACAAACGACCACGTGTATATTGCAGGGCACCTTTAACCAGTGCGCTTCAACCCCTTCGAAATTATAGATGTGCTGAATTACTTATTGATTTTTGGAGTTTGTTGGGAAAATTTTCTTCTAGAAAATCAGCTGATGAGTACTGAATGACCTCATTGACACCATATGTTGAGATGAGTTTTCCTCGTTAGTGTGCCGCCCACTCGTTATAAATCCGATGGAGATTTAATGCGGCCAACGACTGTACAGCTGGTCTGAAGATTGCTCAGAAGTTTCTGAGACTAAAAACTTCAGTCAGCAGGGCGCAGATAGTTACAAGGTGAAGAGATGATTAAGAAAATAACTCTCTGATATTCTGGTTTACTGTTGCATTGACATGAGGTAATTGTGAAATTTTATTATGGCTGATGTTTTCGCGGTTTCGTCTTCATCGCACCCACAATGATTCGAGTCATGTGTTCACATCAGGACCACTAACTTCTAATAGATTGTACCTCGCACTTCACGCTAATGCACAGGATTAAAAAGATGCTCTTATCATGAAATGAATTCGTTGGAGAGATTTTTAATATTACGCTGGGTAGAATTTCCATCTTGCTAGCTATGAAGGAATACGATCGAGAAAATCGTGATGTTCCTAAAGTATTACATCATCTATTACTTAATTAAGTATTTAAATAGTTCGTCCCCGTGAATCGCGAAAAATCGCACTATCTCTGGCATTATTTCTATTTAATTCACAATTTAACTGTTAGAGAATTTTGGATTTCCTGCAGTCTCGAAAAGCGCTCTTGGCCTTTCCCAAGTTGTCATCACTTGCCAGTGATTATGTTTATTTATATGTTCTTATAAACGGACGTCAGCCATCCAACTTCAATGACAACAACAACGACGACACCTTGTACCAGACTCGCATCGGCTCAACGAAATCAGTTTATAGGAACATATTAATAAATATACTGATAATTCATGCCAAGGTTTATATAAAGTCGATCCTTTGAGTTATTAAGTGAATATGTTACTACCGAGGTGGCCCACTTGAAGATTTAAGTCGCTTTTATTCAAGAACAAACATTGTATAGCCCGAAGTACAATTTCCACGTGAATAGTAAGAAAGTCTCCAATACCAGAAAACTCAAATAGCCGTGCTAGTGCCTTTCGTAGTTGTCGCCGCAGGCAGTCTCTTGCCGTTATGTATCGGAGAGAGATTTGGCTGTTATCTGGGCGAAGACGGTTCCTGGCATTCGTTTAGATTACTAAGGACGTCAAATACACCGTGCTACGGTGTTTCCTTCCGCCACGGTCACTAAGAAATACAAAAGTGTAATTTGCATCAAGGTTTTTTGAGAGAATAGTCAGAGAGCTACCACCACTTTATCTAGAATATATCCACCTCATTTGGAACCTTCACTCCACCTCAATAATGGAATTGGTGAAGTGCAAGTTAAGATAAGTTTTCAATGAAACACAAGAAGATATGCTTGGTTGGAATCATTTTTAAACTACTGAATTTAAATCAGCTACTATGCGGTCCTTTCCTTATTACACGAATGGATTAACAATCTAAAGTGTATTAACATATCGGTGAACAAAGTTTAATGGAAAACAAGGATAGTGAGACCGATGTCGTTGGTGGCCGTAGGTGAATTACTTCCAGTTTTGATCAGTTCACTAGAAAAAATTTAAAACGGTATTTAGACGAACACAACATTTTAGAAAAATAGCAGTTTTTCGAATTTTTAAGCTAATACGAGTCACTAGTAGATTTTACTCGTCCAACGTTTCCCAGCCTTCGAATTTTTCAGAGTCGCAAATTGATACGAGCCGATTTTCCACAGCTGTTCGCCCTTGGGATATGGATCTTTGTAGCGCATCAAGTCAAATCCTCTGCAGTGGAGCACCGCTTTAATGAACTAATCTCACTTGGCAATACCCATTTATATGTGACGGTTGCTGACAAATTGTCCTTTGATAACAAGTTTTTCCTCATCAGACAATCGATCTTATAATAGCCGGCACTAAATTAGTTGATATATACCAAAGCAGCCTTGATAGTATTAGACTTTAAACCAATGACAGTCACAGTCCTATAACAGAATCAAAAACTGTTCGAAATCTTTCTACGATCCCGTGAACAACAAACATATACGTCTGCTAAGAAATGAGAGCAGTTAATTCGAGAACTAGAAAAATCCAGACAAGTCGGAAGTGAAGAAGATGTGGCGAAAAATAACGACTGCTTTCTAAAGTATGTCGATACAGAGCTGTGAACTTTTTGGGTTATTATGTAATCAATTTGAGGACACATACTAAGACGAAGACTCAGAAACCATTTGAAAAGTTGTCATCTTGATCTTGAAGATCAGTTTACTGCCTTCCATAGTACATTCTAAACACAGTTTTTCGTTCGCCGAGCAACTGAGTGACTTAATTTATCAAAATGGAAAAGGACACATCACCTACCTGATCTGTGGTAACGTGAGAGTAATTTTCGATTCAGAGTGGTGAATTAGAGACGTCAGCAATGAAATGGGCCGGACTCAATGCGATCAATGCGATGGTGAATCTGGGCTCGCCTTTGGCTTGTAAATAGACGAGTTTTCTCTTGGGTGAAACATTTTCTCCCTTTTTCTAGCATCGATGTACAATGAGGCAATTGAGTATTCTCAGCAACGTAGAACACTATTTTCCTCCCTATCAATAATCCCATGAGTTTCAAGTACAATGTACGAGCAAGCGTATGAGTAAGCAGTATGACCAGTTACCAGTGTAGCAATAAAGTTCAGCAAATGGCGAAATATGTCGAGGAAGATTTCGTAGAATTTGATCGTAGATTAAGTATGAATAGATGGCGCAATTCTCTCCCGACGTATGGACTTAATTGTTCGATCAGATGGCCTGTGCCAAATACCACTATCCTCATGCTTAATGTCATGAGCCCTCTGAAAGAACACTTTTTACTTGGAGCTTAAACTTGCTTTCACTGAGTACAAACTGTTAGTTTCAAATATAAATGAAACAGTGTTCCTAATCTTCTCAGTAAATAACATTTAAGATAATGTCATCTATGACAGCTTCCTCGAACATGTCTTTTAAAACAACGACGAATCGATACACCCGCAATACCGCATAAGAGTGAACAAAATGGAACAGCTGGTGACAATGTATGCAAACATTCATGGAGAACAGAGAAAGAGTCAAAACTTTTCCGCACTATTCGTAACTTATGTGTAAGGAAATGCAACAAGCTGAAAGCAAAATTATGACGTTGAACTGAAAAATTCGTTTCGGAAACAGTGATGAAGATACGGAATGCT